TGGAAGCCTCTGGGTGACATTCGTAGCTCATGTCGAAGACACCGGGGCTGCTGTTTCCAGATGACGACACTCAATGGATAATGATCTCCATTGTGTAGAAACACACGCCGCCGAACCTCAGTATTACTCACGCGATGATACCATCGAATGCAAGCAATTCTGGGGAGACAGCGATGATCAAACACGCAGAGTCGCCGGACATCCTCAGCCTACTCGGTGAGGCCAGGTTTCACAGGCCTGGCGTAGAGCAAGACAGCCCACACCGAAGCATTGTATACCCGACCTTTGGTAGCCAGGCTAACATCGCGACGGCACCAGAGGTGGCTGAAGTTGATGTATGCCACCCTAGCCTTCATTATACGGTTGGAAATCTCATCCGTCACCCGTCCGCCAGCACTCACACAACTACCCAGATACACAAACTTATCAACAACTTCAAGCGGTTCACCCGCAAGAGTGAGTGTAGGTATAGGCTCCTTGCCAATCCAGTTGTTCTCTAATTGTGTAGTCAGTTCGCGATTAATCTTGAAATCGATCAAATTCCTGCAAATTTACACTTGAGGTATGAAATAATAAAAACTAGAGTAAGAGTTTTATGCATTTTGCCGGATGGCGCTGGCCCCGAGATTTTGATGAAGCAGGACTCCTGAAGTAATTCATCTATGCTTTTATGGTATTCATTTAATATATTCTTTTTTGGGCCAAAATATTTTATTCAGTTATATTTGTTAGAAAAATCCCTCGATGTTGTACAAATACCATGTACTACTTGATTGTCTTGTTGTGTTGTTGTTGCTTTTTTTTGTGAAGATTTTTATTGTTGTCTAAAACAAAAACACTGAGAGTTGTTGCAGCACGGAAACACAGAGCTCTGTATGTATTAAAAAAGGTTTTTTTCTTCTCTGTATCAGGCCAGATACACTCAAGCTTAATATATACGCTTAATAATGCTTTTTATTTACGAATAACGCTGACAGAAATCTGCATTCTTCTCCTTTGTGCTATCCAGTGTTCTCCATAAACCTTTCTATGCTTCCACTATTATATATATACATATATATAGCGCCATTATTATTTGCTCTCTGTTTGTTACTTTTTTTGTAGTTCTTTTATCAGAAAGCTGATGAATTGGATACCTGGGAAAAACAACTGAAGCGTCTCTACTCATCTCTTCTGGCGTTGGTATCTGGAGATAATGGTAGGCAGGCAGCTTTATACCCCTTATAGCCTTTTTCAATGCTTTCGTTATTGAAAATCATTTTTAGTTTCTGGTCCTATTGACTGACTGATTTTCAACGTGGAACTTTGCAGAGAAATGCAGCGGTTCAAATTGTGTAAGTATAAGATGCTGCTACGGGACTAGACTACGTCAACTCCTAGCTTAGTGATAGGGAGTGAAGTGATAGAACATGTTGACCACTTCACCTATTTGGGAAGTTGTATCAGCACCAACGGACTGATTGGTGACGAGATCTCAGCACGGATCCAAAATGCTCGAGCTGCTTTGGCTGACTTACGCCATCTCTGGCGTAGGCGTGACATCCAGCTATCAACCAAGGGACGCGTGTACTGCACTGCAGCAGTTCGTTTCGTCCTTCTCTATGGCTCTGAAACATGGCCAATACGAGTTGAAGACATGAAAAGGTTGACTGCTTTCGATCATAGATGTCTGCGATCTCTTTCTCACGTTAGGTGGTATAATAAGGTGTAAGTAATGTTGACGTTAGGCGTAGAGTGTTGGGCAAAGAGGGAAAATCAATCGACGAGGCTATAAAGTTACATAGACGGCATAGAGATGGCTAGGTCACGTGTTGCGCATGCCTGCCTAATCATCGCCTCCCCCGACGGGCATTACTAGCTGATAAAGGTGCAGGTTGGAAAAGAGTAAGTGGTGACCAAACAAAAACATGGCCTCATCAATCCATGAAATCCTTGACAGTTAAACTGAGTCAGGTAGGGTAGGAGATGCAGAATTCCGGGTTGGGGCCCTCGGGACTGACTCTAGGAATCAATGGCAGGAGACAATAGGTGTCATGGCTCAAAATCGTTGTCAATGGCCGGCACAGATGTATTCAATCTCTGTAATCTTTCATATTCCTTTCTACCATTACCCATTCTGTTTCACTCTTATACTTGTGAAAATCCATTGATTCTCTTCACTCATCTTCTTGTCTACCTCTGTGTGATATTTGGAACGTGGCGACTCGAACTGGTGCACTTCGGTGGGAAGTTCTATATTGAATCCAGACAGACAGACTTTATAGCACATAGAGGTAGGGAAAAACTTCAAAAGAAATGTAATCAGCAAAAATGTACAGAAGAAAGAACATGGAAAAACATGAGAACTTAATGGATATGGAAGGTTACAGAGAGCGGACGTATCTGCACCGTTGAGAATGATCCTGAGCTGTATCACCAATAGTATCAAGCTGTTGGTCCTTAGCATCCTGAGAACCCCAACCATGCAGTCTACACCTCTCTACGTGGCTTGCTAAAACTAACAGTAATGACCTTCAAGGTTCATTTCCAACCTAATCCTATGTTAGGTAACATTGCTCGTCGAGGAAGGTGATGGCTCGGAATGAGCAGTATGTGTCCTAACCATCTCAATTCATTTATCGACTTAAGCTGGATATTATTCGCCCCCCCTCCCTATTACACCATTTAAGAGAGATAGTAGACAAACGCCTGTGGTTTTCTACTTTCAATAGCCACACTCCTCATAATCATAGAGAAGAACAAAGTGAGCTGTTTCTCAGTACACACGTGCTTTAATCGATAGCCCATAGTATCGTTTACCGACTCTAAGTGTAGTAGGGACATTGACATCAGAATCTGTTTTCAATTTATAAGGTCATCCTTGGTCGTCTGATGATAACGTCAACCTTTTCAGTGATTTTTGTATAGGCGAAAGATTAAGAAGACAAAAGTTTATAATGTAATTTCTGTAAATGAGTTGGCCATTTGAAATTTTAGGCGTATATATTGTAATTAATAGTCGTTAAACTACAAAGCCAGAATCGGAAAGGCAGGAACCAGTTCGGAAGTCAGAATAAGGCACATGATTCTAATTTTCAACACAAACCTGAAGTCAGTCAATTCTTCTATACTGGACAGAAACTTGCACTGCGTGTCAGTCGCGGAAAGCATTTCCGACAAGTTACAGACTTTCATCAACAGTTGCCCACTTCGCTTGCTCCATACCGAAGATCAGATGGCTAGCCAGCCAAAAAATGAATTAGTAACAAGGAACTCTGTAGTGGAGCAAATCAACCAAGAGCCTATTGCCCAACAGATATGTAGGAGAAAATAGAGATAGGTTGGACACATACTGAAGACACCGTCGAATGACATTGCGCTCAATGTGCAGGCCATTGTTCGAGTGAAACCCGAAGGAGAAGTGACGAGTGGGTGGTGTGTGTGTGTGAGGGTGACATGGAGGATATCGTGTTAGGAGGAGAAGGAGGAGGAAATGAGAGATTATAGTCAGTCGTGGGGCTAACCAGTTGAAGAGGACAGCAGAAGATAGCAGAAAGTGGAGGTGTGTTGTTATTGAAGTCCTATGTCCCACTCAGAACCCAAGGGAATGATAAATAAAACTGAGATGCTCACTGGCGACTGGCCCTATACAGGTAGGTAGTTACCTGGGGTTCCAGTGGGAAGTCGTCGTGATCAATAGGGTGCAGCAGGTCGGGTGTGAGGACAAATACTCGCCGAAGACATTGGCTAGCGGTTGCACTATATCGTGAATTGGCAGAAGTTAGAATTCATGAGCTGACCATTGGATTGGGTCCCAGTGGCTTAATGATATACGAGCTCTCTAGCCTTGTAACCAGAAGGTCTTGGATTTGAACCCCGCAGTGTGGGTGCGTACTGCTGAAGAGTCCCAGTGGTTTTCTAACCAATGTCAGCTCATGATGAAGTCCTGTAACCCACCAACCAAATCCCTACAAACCAGTACTTGTAAACTACTTTTTTGTTAGTTTATTTTCTTAAGATATTCTTTAAAATAACTTCATGAAGGAAATTACTCATGTCATTTTATAACATGTATCATTTCATCTATATTACTTAGATGGAATAACTAACAACAACAACAACAACAAGTGCGTTAATCACATCATAAATGTCTTATAAAAGAAATAATTGATTTATTTTATCCTGTCTTCTGGACACAAAATACATGTATGTGGTCTGTTGATTGATCCCAACAACCAACTTTCAGTTAAGAAGTTAGTAAGTCACAGATTCACAGATCGACCTGTCTACCAAGATTATAGCGAACAATGGGTGTGGTTGGTTGGTTGGTTAGGTAGGTAGGTAGGTAGGTATATTCAGTAAACAGGTGTGTGTACGTGATTGTTAAGTTGGACTCATAGTTTCAGAAAATGAAATGAAATGAAAGTAACAATTAGAATGTCTGTAACAGTGGAGAGAGCTGTTTTCACATTTTTTATCTTATGCGGAAGTGACACTTGTTTCTCAAGAAATAAAGTTATATATAATAGGAATCGAACTGAAAATACCTACTAAATTATGAGTATGCGAATGGGTCACGATTAGTAAGACCCATCAAGTGGGGGGTGTGAAGACGTATACTTGCCGATGACATTGGCTTTCAGTGACACTAGAAGCCATGAATTAATAGAAGTTAGAATCGGCGAACAGTTGGATTTCATCCCAGTGTCTAAATGTAATCAAACAGCTCGGCGCCTTGTAACTGGAAGGTCCTGGATTCGATCCCTGGTGGGGTCATGTGTGCGTACCAACGAGAAGTCAGTCCCAAACTAGGGTGAAGCAACTGTCCAGTACTGTCTGGTTTTCAGTAGTTTTCTACCTGAAGTCATTTCGTGACCAAACGTGCTACGTATAAAATCCTGATATTTGAAAATACAGAACTGCTGAAGAAGTAAGATATATACCTCAGTATTGTTTATATTTTAAGAGGATGATGTACCGTTATAATTGTGAAATATAAAATATTTATAATTTATTTTTAGACTTAGCAAACGCTAAGGTTGGTTTATCCCGTTCAATTCTTCTTTTGGCCAATGTGGAAGAAAATACCGGTTTAGCTCAAGCACTTCATCAGTTAGCCGACACAGAAGGACATGTTGCAGAGCTGCATGCTTTACAGGCGGAAGCGCACACGTGTCATTTAGCGGAGTATACGAGAGAAGTGTTGGGTATGGTTCAAGCGTGTAAAGTGAGTCCTGCTTTTGACTTTATATATATATATATATATATATATATATATATATGCCTGACATATACATTTGAACTTTATTTCCGAAAAACCATTTAACAACAGTTCTTCTTACTGGAATTCTTTATCATTGGTAGAACCCAGTTACCTGGAACAAATTTCTTATGTATCTTATGTATTTCTGGACGGGTTGCAGGTGATGGTCGGTTCAATAGTCCTTTGAAGTGATCCGCCCATTGTTTAATCTGTTTTTCTTCCTTGTTAGTTGGGTTCCCTTGGCTGTCTTTTATAGGTTTCGCTTGTGTTGATCTCTTCCCGGATAGAGATTTGGTTATCTGATATAGTATCCTCAGGTCCCTTTTGCCTGCTGCCTTCTCAGCTTCAGTGGCCAGGTTGTCGTAGAATCGTTTTTTGTCCTTCCTAGTACTCTTCTTCACTTCTTTGTCCAGTGCTTTGTAAGTTGAGCTCATCGTCTCTTTCTCCTGTCCGTCCTTGTATTGAATCATTTTCTCTTTCACCATTCTCCTCTCTTCTATTAATTTCCAAGTGTCCGTTGAGAGCCATTCCTTGTCTTGTCTCTTCTTTCTTTCTAGAACCGTTGAACACGTTTCGTTGAGAATCGCCTTCAGAGACTTCCAGTGGTCTTCCACGCATGATTCTTCAGTGATGTCGCGTAGTGTTTCCTGCTTTGCTCTGACAGTTGCAGTGAAAGTGTCTTTTGTGGTTGTGTCCTTCAGTAATTGAGTGTTGAACTTGCATTGTGGCCTATCCCCAGCTATCCTCGAGGCCTTTAGTTTCACCTTGAAAGTACCTTGTACTAGATAGTGGTCTGAACCCACATCTGCTCCTCTCCTTGACCTTATGTCCAGTAGGCTCCGTCTCCACTTTCTTGAAATTGAGATGAAGTCTATTTGGTTCTTGGTGTTTCCATCTGGTGAAATCCATGTCGTCTTGTGTATATCCTTGTGTTTGAACACACTACCACCAATCACCAAATCATTGAAGGCGCAGAAGTCTAAGAAGAGTTCACCATTGTCGTTCATTTCACCGAGGGCCTCACGACCCATGGTGAGTTCTCTTCCTGTGTTGTCTCGTCCCAGCTTCGCATTCATGTCGCCCATCAGGATTTTGATGTCGCCATTTGGGACGTTGTCCATTATTGCTTGTAGTTGTCTGTAGAACGCCTCCCTCTTCTCTTGTTCTGAGACGTTTGTAGGCGCATAGCATTGGATGATTGTAAGCTTCCTTCCTTTTGAGTTGAACCTGGCTGTCATTATCCTGGAGGAGATCAGTTCCCACTGCATGAGAGCTTTGGTTGCTATTGGTGATATCATGATGGCCACTCCCTCGGTGTGCTCATGGTTGTTCTCTGGGTGGCCGGAAGGGATTACTGTCTCTCCAGTAGGTAGTTGGCACCTTCCAGTTGCGTTCCATCTGCTTTCTCAGATTCCCAACACTTCTATTCTGTACCTTCTCATTTCAGCGGCTACCTGGGCAGCCTTTCCAGTTTCGTACATTGTACGAACATTCCAGGTACCCATCCTTACTTTTGCTTTCATCGAAAGAACGAAGGCACATCGGCTGACTGGCTTCCCGAAGGCTAGCTTTCACCAGCCTGCGCCATTTCACTTCCCCGATTCCAGCGAAAAGTAAGGCTATTGCTTATGTTTTTAGAGTTTTGAATATATTTATTCGTTGAAGTTTCTGTAGCGATTTGGTTGTTTTACAGGGGTGGAGTCGCTAGCACCACGCCCCAACCCTCCCTCTTTACCCGGGCTTGGGACCGGCTAGAAAGCTAGTAAGCTAGTAGCCAAGCAAGCTAGTATCTGGCGAGGTTAGGCAGGACGAGAAGTCAATATGAAAGGTTATATGCTCGAACCACTGAGTACAGATATTCTACAATACCCTATTTAGCCCGTATTTTAATGTGATGAAGACTCTGTTAGACATGAAACACATAAGTTACTATGTAATTAGCAAAGTGAATCGACCCTTTTATTGCTCATCTTTCTGTAATTTTATGATGTCACACTTTCTATTTTTTAATTATAACCGCTATATTATTTTAGTTGTTATTACTATTATTATTACAATTTTATACTTTACGCATATTTTTCTCCTTACTGCATACAGTAATTTGCTACGTAGCCGCTATAATAACGTTTTGTTATTATTATTATTATGTAGTGTTTATTTTTTTGTCGTTTTGAGTAAATTAGATGCAATACTGTACTGAATGCTGAAAATTCCTTGCTGTATCATTAGTACTGTTTTTGGAATAAAGCAAATTATTATTATAAAAGCAGGAATGTGACTACATTGCTATGGACAAAGTTGCGTTGAGGAGAACAGTCGAATTAAAAAGTAATGAAGAAAAACAGATGGCCAGAAAAGATTAGCAACGAGGAAACGAACCAAGCAACAACCTATTGCCCAAAGAATATTCCGAAGGAAATGAACATGGATAGGGCACACACTGAGAGGACAGCAATGAAGGCCCTCTAGCGGAACCCGAACGGGAAACGACGAGTTGCGCGTTGGTCCGACAAGGACATGAAATAGGTCGTGTGAGGAGATGACATCTTAGAGGCAGTCTTGAAGCCATTTAAACAAGACTACAGAAAAAAGGATGAAATGGACTTATGCTGTTGAAGCCCTATTTTCTACCTGGAACTTAAAAAGTTAGTAATAGTGATAAAATCGCAGAAGTTTATAACTCCGTAGATAATAAAGACTCAATGCATGTTTCCCATCGTGGATAACATCACATTATAATAAAAATCTCGATAATTAATTCTTAATGCTTGAAAGATTTCAACCTGGTTAATTATTACACTCTTAAACTATTTATTTTACCTTCTTTCCTCTAGAAGAGTGAGTGTCGTAGTCCTGTGGTGCCAATTCACACAAGCAAAAGATGTGTCAGAATATTCAGACAATTTGTTCACAAGCTTCAATGGTGTTTGTCGTTGGTTTCATCCAGAAAAAATATGCAGTCGGCTTATTTTCTATCCAAAAAAAAATATTTAAAAGCTAACTGGTGGATGGTAACTAGCAGTGGCATCCAGGATGCGCATCTCGTCTCATTTTTGATTCATCAACTAGATGTACCTGCATTCCGCAGTCAGTGATGACGTTTCCACCGAGGTTCAAGCCAACATGTCAACCTGCGACCGAGTACTTCGGTCCAATCAATCGATAGAAAAATTTAAGATTGATTTAAACAAAAAAAATATTTAGTTGGAGGATTTCATCATGAGCTGACATCAGTTAGAGAACCATCGGAAAACCTGCAGGTAGTAATGGACAGTCAGCTGTTTCATCTTAGTTTGAGACTCCAATTCAGCAGTACGTGCGCACCGCCGGGGTTCAAACCCATGACCTTCTGGTTGCCAGCCGGGCTTGTGGACAATTAAATCAGTGGGACCCACCCGATCCAATGGCCAGTCCATAAATTATAACTTCTGCCAATTCACAACATAGCGTGACCATTTCACAATGTCTTCTTCAATGACCTACTGCCCCGCCTTCAACCAACTACACCCTACTGGTCATGGCTTCCCACTAGAACCCGAGGTTAACCACCTGAATAGGACCAGTCGCTAGTGAGTGTGGGTGCGTAGTGATGAAGAATCCCAAATTAGGAAGAAACAGCTGTCCAGTACTCCCAGGTTTTCCAACTGCTCTAACCAACGCCAGCTCATAATGAAATCTTGTAACCAATCAATTAAATCCCTACAAACCAATACTTGAATATGAGTTTATTTTATTCTATTAAAAGTATAGTCTCTAGTGGTAGTCTCTACTCTCACAACTAATCAAAATACCTACAACCTACTGATTCACAAGTTTCTAACAAACTTGAGTAGAAGCAATATCATCACTGACAACGTATCACAACACATGAGATGACTCTTCTTGATATTCTTCGTGTAAACTGCCACTGCTTGAGAAATGAAACGAATTACCCGTAGTCTTCAATTATCCAGACATTACTGTGTCCTTCGGTCGCAAAATGTACTCCTACACCTTATATAATTATCTTTCCACCAAATGTTGTACATTTCTCGAAGAAGGGAGACAAAGAAGAAGTGTCCTAATGGACTGGTTTGAGTTTCAGATCAGACAACAATATGTCAATGGGTTTACTGTCAATTGCTATTTTACTTGAAGATGTTGGACGAAGAGGAAGTATTATGCAATGGATCTCCCTTTAAGACTCTGTATATTATCCATATAAACTGTTCACAATAAAGCTATTGTTGTTGTTATTATTATTACTATGATATGTCCTACATCTCAGGTTGTATGCAACTGATAAAATCCTTATAAGGGAAAAAAATGAAATCCCATCCTGCTAAACTTATTCTCATTGCTTCAATCAAGTTTATCAAGGCAGATAATTGCATGAAGTATATTCATTCATTTGTCATTATTTCTGTTATCTGTCGTTTTGAATATACGAGATATCTTCAGAGTGATGTTTAGTTTTAATTGCAGCTCAATTCTGAGTTGTGTTGTTTTTTCGCTTTCTCTCTTTCTTTCTTTCTTTCTTCATTTATTCTGATATTCTCCTTATTGCAGAGTGTCCTATTTATCACTGATATCATCATTGGAATTAGTATTATTATATAATATTACTACCATTATTATTATTATTACCATTATTATCTAATGCTCACAGATATACTATGGACGATTATCTCATTCTCTTCATCTTACAGATATTTCAGTTTATTTTGATTCTGTTTAACTTCTTAGTTTTCATGTGATCCTTATGTGAACTTTATCAATAAGTGTATTCATGATTAGAAGGGAATATGATCAAGTTAAACTTTAGGCACCAATAACTACCAATTGGGGGTGTTACCGCACTGATGATCTTGAAACACTCACTGGGCAAATTAGTGAAACCTGGCAAATAATGTTTTCATCATCAATCAGTAAAATAATGCTCATCGAAGTGTTATTGTCATTAAATGGGATATCTGGAAAGTTTCAGGTTAAGTTTGAGAAAGATTAAGTCACAGTTTAAGCTAAGGAGAGGTTAGGGTTAGGTTAATTTAATAAGGCCGACTTTAGGGTGGATTGGATTTAGATTACAGTTAGTTTAGGGATATTTTCACGTTACGGTTGAGTTCAGGAAAGATTAGAGTTATTGTTAGGGTTAGAAGACCTAAATAATTAATAACATGCACAGAATGTGGTTAAATTACTCTGTTTATATAAGAATAGTACTTCTGCACTGTGGTACAGTATAATTCCATTGTGAGTAAAATTTATTTTGATAAAGTCTCACGGTTTTATACAGTAATATTTACTGGTGACCACGTTTCGAGCACCATTTATTGCTCCGTAAATATTACTGTATAACACCATGAGACTTTATCAAAATAATTTTTACTCACAATGGGATTATACTCTGTTGATACTCCAACCTCAAAACTGTGGGCTATTATCATCACATTTAAGAGGAAGGTATCCTCTGTAGTACGTTTTATACAGTTTTTATGCATTATTTCATAAATATATATGTATTCTATAAACAGAAATGCCTCCTTGACGTGATTGGTGCGTTCGAGGTCATTTGCTGACTGATACTTAATGATGCTTAAAGTTTAACTTATTCATTCATTCACTATAATGTATATATAACAGTAGAGCCTGATGATGAATTTATCGAAAAGAGTACTCTTTGTTCAGTATCCATTCTTTTAAATTTATTTTTCAACGACAGCAAATTCACAAGCGAAGAGAGGAATCCGAGAACAAAATCCCATTTGTGGACGTCTTAGTCAAGCGAACAACCACAGGGGGATTAGAAACTCAAATTTATAGAAAATCATCTCACACACACACACCAAATACTCAATCACAACAGCAACAGTCCAATAAAGCACAATAGGAATTGTATACAAACACTATGCAAGAGGTCCAGAGCTCATTCCAACACTCCCAAATTAAGGAAAAAAGGAGAAAGATATCTCATGAACGTCTTCCAAAAGAATGGATATCCACAGAATTTCATCAAAAGACATATACTTTCAAGCCAATCTACCAAATCAAAAGTTCCAACCAAGAAAATCGTCCTACCATATATAAATGACATCTCAGAAATCACTACAAGACTCTTCAAACTTTTATAAATTGATGCCATACAAAAACCAACAAAATCACTTCACTGAGTTCTGTGTCAACCGAAAGACTCAACAGTGAAAGAAGATAAAGCCAACATCATCTACAAAATAATTTGTAACGACTGCAAAAGTGGACTTCCCCTTCGCCTTCGTACCCATGAACATAAACTATTTGTCAAAAAAATGACATCTACTCGCTAATATCGCTGCATACCAATAACCATGGACATAAAGTTGACTGGGATAACCAACGTTCAAATATTAGACAGAGGAAACACCAAGAATGCTAGGGAATTTTTAGAAGCCTGGTATTCCAGTGAGTCGTCGATCAGTAGACACATCGAGATAGATAAAATTTACCAATCGATAAGAAGGAAATCTAACACACAAAGGGTCAAAGTTCAAGTAAACGAAACAATCAGTTCCAATAAAAGTAACCCAGAGAGTGTGAAACACGCGAAAACAATCAATCACGTTCAAGGTCACCAGGAGAGATGAATAATAAACTCGTGTAGAAATCGAAAAGCTCACTTCAATGCGAATTGAAGTATGGCTGAAGATGTTGCCTAGTAGGGAGGGGGCAATGAAAGCTTGGCAAATTAACTATCCAGCTCAGAGAACAAAACTACAACGAAATCATCCACCTGAACTACAAATCTCTTCCATCACATCTAATTTTATTTTTATTAGTAATCACTTTCAAAACTTCGTTTTCAAGATTTAGATTGTAGGAATTTAATTTTTTAAAGCTTGATCAGGGACTGATATCAACTGGTGAGAGAACTACCGAAAACTAGAGAGCATTACTAGACATTTAATTCGTCCTAGTTTGGGACACTTCATCTGTACTCATCCACTGCCGGGTTTTGAACTCACAACTTTCAGATTACAAGGCAAGCTCGTAGAGCATTCTGCTACTCGCTACTGACTGACTACAGGACAAAGTTCCTTGACATTCTAGTTAGAAATCGTGATCAATGGGTTCCACCAGGTCGAAGGTGGCCGTGCTAAAATCACAAATTCGTAGGAGCTGAAATTCAAGAGCCACTGGATAGAATTCTGGCGACTAAATGGTCCACGAGCTTGCTTTTTAACCTGAGTGTTCTGGATTCGATATCCAGACAGCGACTCCAGTGAAGAGTCTCAAACTGGGACGAAACGATTATCCATTACTCCCTTATTTTCACTGAGTCTTCAACTAATATCACTCTGTGATGATCAGACTTGAAAGAGTTCACAGCAGTAGGTTAATAATCAGTGTGCGTAAGCACAAGATGCGATTCATTCGTATAACCGAGGATTAAAATCATATGAAATGAAGAGAATTTTATGTATTACAATGGATAGAAATTTAGGAAAGTCAGGCGAATCATGTTCTGACCAAATTGAAACTCTACTTATCATCATCACAGAACAAAGCATGGAATGGCAATCAAACCTCTACCTCAACTTTATAGACTTTGAGAAGGCCTTCGACAGCGTTGATCGTGAAGTAATTTGGAAACTACTCGAGTACTATGGCGTACAGTGCCCCAAATATTCATCAACATTAATCAACAGCTACTGTACGACAACGGCACATGTTAAGTGATCCACGACGGAAAACTCAGCAAGGCGTTTGGAGTAAACACAGGAGTCAGACAAGGGTGCCTGCCTATTATCACCAATGATATTCCTAATTGTGGTGGACTGACTGGATCATGCGTCAGACAGTGGGAAACGAGAAGACAGGAGTATCCTGGACAGACCAACGTGAAGAACCTAGAAGACCTGGATTTCTCGCGTGGATGATTTATGTTCGATGTCACACAAAATTGAAGACCTATAAGTGAAAACCGACAAATTAGTCGAAGAAGCAGCCGGCGAAGACAGGACTCCAGGTGAAGATAGACAAGACTGAGGTTATGAAAATAACCAACCAACAACAACATCAGCAGCAGCAGCGACATCCAGCGCCAATCACCATCAACGGGAGGGATTTGAAAGAGGTTACTTCATTCACTCACTTATCTGGCGTTGAGCATTATCTCAACTACAGGAAGTCGGAACGGACGAGGATGTCAAATCGAGCGAGAATCGGGAAGGCGAGCGAGAAACACATTCATCAACCTGAAATCAATCTGGAAATCTTCGTCACTCAGCCAGCATCAACCACAAAATTCGGATTTTCAATACAAACGTCATGTCAGTCACTTCTTCTATACGGATGAGAAACTTGGCGGGTCACAAAGAATATTTCCAACAGCCTGTTGCAGACCTTTCTCAACCAACAACTCTCTTCGCTGGATCTATACTGAAGATCAGATGGCCTGGCCGGAAAGAATCACAAGAAACTATGGGAACAAACAAACAAAGCAAGAACCAATCGCCCAAGAATTATGCAGGAGAAAGTGGAGATGGATGGATCGGACACTCGCTGAGGAGGCCGCTGGGTGACATCGCGCGTCAAGCCCTCGAGTGGGACCCGAAAGGGAAGCAGCGTGTGGGACGTCAGTGCAAGGGTGACATGGAGGAGATCGTGTAAAGAGGATTTGAATGAATATAAACTAACATGGATGCAGGCGAAAAGTACAGCAGAAGGAAGACAGAAGCAAGCGGAGACGTGCAGTTGAAGCCCTATGTTCCACTAGGAACCCAAGGGAACAATAATGATAATAACAATCTTTATTTGAATAAAGAAAAAACGAACATATTCACAGGATACTACGAGCTCATTCTACTTAGTGGATTCTCTTCATCTGTGCACATCCTAAACAAATCACTTACGTTATAAACTCCCAGACCGTAGGTTTTACGAACTTCCTGAAATAATTTGAGCACCTAGTCAAACAAGATTTTTCTCAACGTTTGGATTCCGAATAAATCTGCTGAAGAAGCTGCCTGTGGCTTACACAGCGAAACGTTCAAAAAACAGATCTTGTTTTGATTTTTTTTCTTAAACACGATGAGATTAATTTTAAATAATTTATAATGAATCAATTATATGTGGCTAAGTGCTGTCTGAACATACTTTTTGCAATGATTTCAAGTTACAGGTAGAAAGTCAAGAAAACATAATTTCAAAAACGATACAACCAGATGAATTATTAAGTGTTAAAAGAGTAACTATTTATATGGTATAATTAGACACAAAAAGTAGAGTTCAGATTTCGCTTGGAGACAGACTGCAAGATAGAACAAGAGAGTTAAGTTACACATATTATGGTGGGGAGTTAAGAAGGGTGTAGGTGAACAGTGAAGTAAAATTATAAAATAGATAAAGTAATTTAATTTAGTAAATTTGGAAACTTGATAATGAGTTCAACTCAGTAAGTAGAAATCAAAACCAAGCGAAATGTTATGCAACAGATAAAACACAAAAGCAAATGATTACGGTTACCAGGGTAGTGAGAGATTAGTCACACACTGTCTCTCAGTATGCATACGCTGTGTCGAAGTCTTTTGATGGCAATGGATTCTGCAAACAGATGTAAGCATGCTTTTCTTTGTGTATTGATTATTTTGAAAGCCTGACTAATTTCCGCTGTATTTCCTGTTGTGGTGAGAACAGGTTGCTAGTCAATTGGTAGACATTAATCTACGTCAATGTCTGGGTCACTAATATTGGCCGTGAGAAAATATGAACAAGGCTGATTCAACAACCGATCACATCAGACTTAACGTGGGCGAATATGA